GCTGCGCCGCGCATTCGGAAATAATTTCAGAAAACCTTCGGCGGGACGTCAATTTGACCCCCCCCGAGCGCGTGTGCCATGTACCGTTTAGCTGGTTTGATCACATCACGGCGAGCAGACCGATGATTAACAGGCTGCGGTGATAATCCAGTCGGTTCAGTCCGATCTCGGTGTTGGCGATCGGCGCAGAGATGTCTGGTCCTGCGGGCTGTTAACGGCACAGGCAGGCAGTCCAGTGGAGAACCGACAAAAACTGTGCAACCCCTTTGGCTCGTCAGTAATCGACCGGAAAATGCCAAGGGGTTTCATTTCCGAAACCCGTTTCGAATATCACGTGTTGTGTCTGGACCTGAAAAGACTGTTCCATAAAAAGAAGTCCTGTTTGTTAGCCTGTTTGTCTGGGTCAATATCCATGCAAAATATTTTTGTTTTTGCAATTATCTGGTAACGGGTGCAGAAACCGCAAATTATTGAAAACTCATTCATATCATCGGCCAAGATTTTCGAATCTGACTAGACCCATAGCCAGCCAGCCTTCAGGCAAATCGTGTGTGGATTGGAGAGCAAACGCCGCTTGACTAGCCCATCACTCATTAAATTGCCAGCCAAAACGCACACTTTCTAACGCATTGCTGGAGACGATTTGCATCGGCTGTTGAAAATGCTTGGTTTCGCTACTTTAGCATTTGGCATTATCTACCCAACGAAACACGATTTTCACACTCGCTCGTCTCGCGCAGCACAATCTTCCGTACTGGTTGGTATATCCCAAACTGGTATGAACCGTAGTTCTCGCCGCATGACATCACGTTCTCCCCCCCCTAACCAGCCGATTTCCATCCCTCCTTCATACGCGAGTAAGCTCACATTGACTGCAAGCGCAGAGTAACGGTACTCATTGCACCACCAGCCGCAGAGCCAACGATTGTTACGTTGGCGATATGTGAGGCGACTGTTCTGTCACCGACTAGTCACTATGCAACAAGCCTCCCCAGTCCGCCAGCGTTGCACACACCAGCTGGACGGGATGGGATTTTTAAAAAAAACACACAACCCGTTTGGGTCGGCTATCGTCGGAGGCGAGCCTTGATCCATGATAGCACCGGCCAGCTGGAACATCCGGAACACAAGTCATGCAACGCGAGCTGGGCGGTGATCGGTGCACGATAGCTCTGATCACACTGTCAGATCATACTCACCATGACCTGCATGTGCTGGAGAGCAGCACTTTAGGCTCCGGCGAGCGCAAGCCATGCGCCTCCGGACGGGGAGAGGGGCAAAACAGCCACAGTGCTCAACACACGCGCGCACGACATGATCCGTTCACCACAAAACCCACTGGTGCTGCAGCGCTGTACCATGTGGTACCGCGTCGTATACATCAACGCCACCACCAGTCGACCAGACGGTGAACAGATCATGCGCGCGCTCATGAGTTTATGCAATTGTTTTATGAACGGTGTATTTTCAACTGATGTCAAAATCCCGTGACGGTGTCTGTTTGGAGGGAGAGATATATAAAACGTATTGATGGCGTCTGTGAAATAGGGTCAGTGATGTGCATACTTTTCGCCATTTGGCATTTTGATTTTGTGCTATTTATATTTTTTGTGTTTGTATCGTAAAAGTGCGTTATCGATGTTTCAAAGTCGGCGAAGTCAGAAGTTAACCAATGCGTCCACGTGACCAATTTTTCCAAAACGATGATTGTCTGTCAGTGGCTGTTTTTAAATCCTGAAGTTGCTGCAAAGCAGTATATATTCACTATTGTTTTGCCCATTTTTTTATAAAACGACCGAAGGTTATTTTATTATGCGTGACCTTTGTTATGATGAGGCTCATAGCAGCTTTATTTGAGCTGAAGTTACTAAATATTGCCTATTGTTTTATTTAAAAGTTTGATATAATGCCTGATGCAACGCACAGCATTTTTAGTCATAATCTGTAAAAACAGCTTAGGGTATGCCATAAGTATAATGTTGGACGGCTTGCTTTGTCAACAAACAATGAGGCGTATTTGTTCAAATTTATTGACAATTTTGACAGGTTTGGGTAATTTATGCCAAATTCTGCTTTCTGCTTACGAAGGCTGGAGATTTATTGCAAGATTGAACGGCGCCTGGGTGGGGGTCAACTTACCCCCCCCCCCGATGTTTTTTCCAGAATGGTTTCCAAACGGCGCGGCGTAGCTCCGGGAAATTTTGCAGAGCTGCAGAAAATTGAATACTGAATCGTTCTGTATCAAAAATTTATATGTACCTTGTAAGGTCGCTGACCTATGGCAGGTCAAAGTCGGGTCATGGTTTCGGAGAAGTCAATTCCTAGAGAATCGTTCAATCTGACGCAACAACGGAGTGTTAGACGAAGCCATACATCTCTGAGATGCTTTCTTTTGCAACACAGATATTTAATGAGCATATCATGGTGACCTAAGGCTAAGTATGGAGGTAAGACCAAGGTCAAGGCCAACTTGTTTTATTACTCTAGGGCTTGCTGTATGGGATAACTTCTAGTGCTCATTTCGAATCATTGATGCAAGAACTGTATCATACAACTCCATGGACTTCTTAGAAGTCAGAATAGACATTGACTTAAAATGACCAGTTCAACATTTTTGTTTTTAGAAACATATTGCCTAGCATAATCTTTGTCGCTTATTCAAATCAAAAACTCAGAACAGCCTGTATGATTTTGGTGTCCATGACCTTCAAAAGGTTAAACAAGTTCACTGACCCTAAATAAGCATGTGAACCTTTGCTTAGAAACAATTATCTAGGTTTTGAGAGCACTCTGGAGACTAACCTGAAATTTGACCTTGTTTGACCTTATTTGACCCGAAGGTCATGATCTAGGAACCTCAAACCTTGACCTATATGAGGTCACGTTCAGGTCAACACACCCTGTAAATTTAGTGCCTCTAGCTTTGTTAGTTTCCGAGATCTTGGGGGGGGTCAAACAACCCCCCACCCCCCCACCCCACCCGAACGAGGGGTATCTAGCCGGCCATCCGGGTGTGTATTAAGCGGCGACGCAGTGCTTTGTATTGTCGTAGCTAAAAAAGCACGTACAGCTTGCCACAGCAAATTCCATCCTGATGCGGCCTGACCGGTCAGTTTGCGGACCTGCTGCCAGATTGGTTCGGCTTTGGGCAGGGCTCACTCGGCCTGTTCAGACCAATTGGGAGCTCCGGTATTAACGTCGCAAGTCACCGGCACTCAGCATTTCGCCACACTCGATTGCACGGAGGGTTGGCACGACTCCCCTACCGAATCCATACGCGTCATTCCAGAGCAAAATTGCAACAACTGGAAGAAACAAGGCAGTGGCAATGCCCTGGTGCGATCTATAGCATTTATCCTGCATTTTAGTGTAATCTGTCAAGTCTGTTCAGATGACGTCAGACCAACTTAAGCCGGCTCTGTACAGTTGCGTATTGGTCACAGAGTGAACTTGATATACATCACGGCACGACACAATTTTCCAACGATTATTTCAGGTAAAATGACGTCAATCCGTGATTACCCCTTGAATTTTACATCGACTGACCTGCACTTACGATTTTCATGTGTGGCGATGCTTTTTGAAAGGTAAAAATAACCTATCAAGGAAGTGTTGGATGATTTTCAGGTTTGTGCCCGCCGTGATCTTTATATCGAATTGGCTCGTCCGCTGGCTGGCTTTACATAACTTCCACGATGTGGCCCGATGTTTCATTACACTGAATAATCTTAAACAGGATAACGACTTTAGAAGACGTTTATAATGTAACCATTCCGCATGTTTAGTACCACTGAACAAAACGATCCAGTGTACACAAAGTGGAGGACACGTCAGTAAGCCCCAATATCTACATGTTTGTCACCAAGAGCTCTTAGAATTAGTTCTTAGGTTAGTGAATTGGCGTGTTAGAATTTATTGAATAGTGGGTCAGGTTGACCAAGCTTTTGAACTAAACATCCAAAATTCCATTCCATTGGGGCGAACAGTCGGGAGCCATCCCTCCAAAATGAGGGGTTTGCATCACCGCCTGACCGCGTACCGCAAGGGACCAGCAGAAAGGTAAGACGTCGGGTTACGCTACAGACAGCCTGATTTAACCCAGGCTGTGAGCATGCTGCACCACGCGATGCTCTTCTGCAGTGCAGTCCGGGTCCCCCCTGGTCGAGTGGCACGAGCCTGGGGACTGGGGCAGTGCTCATGCCGGGCTGTGTCCAGCCAGGGACCATCCGCAGCAAAATCCCAACATGGCAAGACTTTTCATGGATATGTATACAGTATCTAACGCAGGGAGGATAGCATGTTTAATTTCATAACACACCGATCAACGTGGCACGCGATCGTGGGCGACGGGCGGCCCCAGCCCTTCTCAGGGCGCAATTCTTCTGGCTGTCGCTCCAGCGCTGTGGAACTCGCACTGCATGTGCACAGCCTCGCCGTCCTTGCAGTAGTAGAAGAAGCGGGCGTTCTCGGGGTCGCGAATAGCCCGTCGGTTGTGGACAGCTGAAGCCGGGCCCGGGGCTTGGGGTTGTCCACGGCGTCGTGGGCGCTGAGCGTAGATGGTGCTGCTGTAGTGGTCGCCGTTGCAGTTGTAGATGGCATCGTTGTGGTGGTCGCCGGTGGAGTTGTAGATGGCGCTGCTGTAGTGGTCGCAGGTGGAGTTGTAGTCGGCGCTGCGGAGGTGGTCGGCTCGGTTGTGGGCCATGTCGGGGTGGTGCTCGCGTCAGGGGTGGTCGTCGCAGGAGTGTCTGTTGGTGCTGGCTGAGGGGTGGACGTATACCTGGGGCCAGCAAGAGACTGTGTGAGCACTACTGGGGAGCTGAGGCTGGAGCCGGACCATTTGAAGGAGCGTCGTTACCACTGACATTGCCAAGTATATGGGCGCGTTTCGTCCACCTGTTTCCTCATGTGGCCGAGCTTGAGAACTACCGCCACCAAAATTCCGCATTGTCTAATCTAGCCGATAGTGGCTGATTGCAGTGCACTCAGTGCCGTTTCGCGTGCCAGTCGTCCGGGAGCTCCAGTCTCCGACAGCTCACCTGCCACGGTGAGGCGAGCGGAGCGCGAGCTGACGTGCGCCTGCTCGTCCAGCGGCCAGCACGTCCAGAGGCCGTCGTGGCGCCAGTCCACGTCCTCAATGATGAGCGTGCAGACCCGCTCGTGCTCCGGGAACAGGGCGCGCACCTTGGGCGGCGGGAACACGTTGTAGAAGTGATCGACGCCCAGGTGGGTGCCGGCGAGGCGCCAGGCGCAGATATCGTCGGCGTCGGCCTCCACCAGCTCGCAGTCCAGCTGGACCGACTCCCCCGGCTGCACGTGAGCGTCCTGCGGCTGAGAAACGAAGTCCGCCTCGCCCGCCGGCCCGCCTGCGGCACCCGCACATACGAGTCAAAGTCCTGCTGCGAGTCAGGCTTGCTGCCATGGCAGTCACGGTCGCTGGAATGGGTTATATTTTCTGGTAGATGCAAGCTAAGTTAACTGGCCCGAACCAGGCTCACCGGTGCGAGTTTAAATCGCAAGTGTGATCAGACACACCAGAATCTCCTGGTGGCATAAAGACATACCATCTTTAGTACAATGATTTTCCATTTCATGATGCCGACAAACCGGAAGCTCAGTGCCTTCCCTCCTCTATATCAAGTATTTCCACTGGCATCGATGATCGGTCATCCAAGTATCTGGCCATGCCAGAATGGCTGACACTTGAAACACTTATCCGCGCCAGATCTGCAACAATATTAGGAAAATGTTTGAGCCCCTACAGCATCAAGTCGATCGGTAACAATCACAACGCAAAAATTAAAGCCCGGCAGTTAAATTTCGGTTAGTATCCTCAGACAAATGCAAGAAATAGTGTTCCTACATTATAACAAAAATTGTGTTATATGTTGTTGCAGTTTTGCCAGCAGATAAACCTCTTTTTGATCTCACACTGATCCGCACCTAATATGATCATCCACTTTTTAAAAAATAAGACTCGAAACGACAGGACTAATGAGCGATTTATCGAGAAGTGGCAGACGCCCAATGAAGGTGCCCAATCACAAGCCTTGCGATAAACATGAAGCGCACTGACAGGCTGCCGGAAAAGTATTTGCTGGGCTGTTTTGTACTTATTATATCTCGACCAAGCTGGCCTTCTTGGCATTTCATACTTGGCAGCACAGGCTATGTGCGAACATTTGGCAGCAGAGTTCATGTGTGAACGGTTGGCAGCAAAGGTCATCCGGTTGTAATTCATCAAGGAAATATAAAGAAACTAGCTACGTTTACGGGGCATTTTGGTGCAAAACTTTCAAACATTTTAAAAAAATTTTCTTCACTTGGACCACTAAACCTCGATACCTCAAGGCTGTTTGAGCCAGCTCCATCTGCCGATGGCATTAACCGATTTGCATAGTTCGTCGTCCACAAAAGAGAGTTTTACATACCCACTTACATACTTTACATACTTCATACTTATTTTGTTTTCGCCATTATACATATTTGCTAACCTGTGGTGGCGTGAAATCCAGATGTGTGACACTAGTGGCAGGCCTCCATCGATGTTCCCGGCACCAGATATCACGGAAAAAGACGAGCCATTTTAGTAAGGCTACGCCCACACGACTGTCGATAAGAACGTAAACGCACCGCGCCCGTATTTGTGATATCAGGATGATTCTCTCAGTAGCCTACCATGGTCATGCTGAACTGTAATTTAATGTGGTGTGAGCGGCCATGGGTTTGAGGTAGAGTTCTTTGGTATAGATTCCGTCTAACTGTACCAAAGAGAGGGTCTTGAGGAATAAAATCGACGCAAAATGTGTTTCAGACAGAAAGAAATGCTGGGACGGCGTGTAATGATTTCTTCAAAGGAATTAGCAGCACCAGTGAGCTCAGATTACGAGTTCGGATGCTGAAAATGGCATGGGCGTAACAAGAAGTACAGCTCAATAGGCTGTGATTGCCCATTGAATCGGTGCTGGTCAGTGCAATACTGTGGATTCCCATTACATCATTGCTAGCCAGCGTAATACAACGTTTACCAATCAAATCGCTGCCTGGGTTTGGAGCACCATAGCTTCCAATGGTGATCCTGAGGGTGCCTCGTCCTGAAGTCAGCGTAGTCTGGTGGTCTGATCTGCACGAGGCCGCTGCACCAGCTTACCTGAGACCAGGCTGCAGCCCAGCATGATGAGGAGCACAGGACGCATCCTGCCTGGTCGGTCGGTGATCTGACAGAACTGTGCGTCGAGGTCAGACGCCGAAAACTGCATAGCATGAGCTCCATCAGATGCTCTTCAGAACATCATATCTTATCGGGCACTTCATGGATGGCGATTGTGCAGTGCGCGTTAATCGAATTATCTCGTGCGGGCGTGACCGGACCTTTCAGGGTGGCCGTGGATTCTGAAGAAGCCGGAGATCCGCTTCACTGAGACGGGCTTTTAGTTTCTAAACCTTCTGACCGTTATCTGCCTCTCGGTGTCATTTTTCTGCTAGCAAAATGAGGTTTGATATGATTTTACCAACTGAAGTGCGTGCGTACATTTCATGACTTTACGCATGTGGAGTTAATGTCATGACAGGTCAGGAGCGTATGTAGGAATCGCCAATGGGGGGGGGGGGAGCACACCTCAA